AATGTCTGGTGTGGGCTAATTATTTACAAAAATTCAAAGGGAAAGGTCAGGCAGAGCACCCTTTCYTTTCAGTCCTCTAGGACTCAATGTAGCAATTACATACAGCTATGAAGAAATAACATCRTGATGTGAAAATACTGGAATCCTTGTCCTGTGTCCTCCATTGAAGGTCTCCAGATTGTAGCAGTAGCAGAATGGCCACTCCCACATGAAGGGCCATGTGTTTATTTCATTACCACACAAATGCAGTTTTAGCCCATCTGTGCAAAATTTGTTAAGCTGCATAGTGTCAAAGAGATGGAGAAATGCAGTACTCCATGTTGCTGGATAGCAAAGCCAGTGAGACTGTGAGAGAAGTGGGCTTCAGCTGTATGACAGAGCTGCTTTTTCCCTGGGCAGTAAGAAGCAATTGCTATAAAGTCATGGGGGTGGAGGGGGGRAAGGGGAGGAGGCTGGCGTTAAGCTGCTGTGGTGCATAAATCGGGGCTTGTCTGTTTAATATGTTTTAAAAGTTATTTTATATTTCTTGCTGGCTCTGCTGCATTCTTTGAAAGACACCTATAATAATTGCTTTTCCTTTCTGTGTCACTTCCTTTTCTCTTTGAGAGCCCTGTAATAACCATGTAAAAGTGACAGTGGCTGCAAGTCAGCTGTAGGTTTACTTTGTGTAGTATGCATTTGGACCCAAMTTGTCTAGATAGCTAGAGAAATAAAATATTGCAAGGAATAAATCAAGGATGGCATATCTAAAATGTGGAGAAACATTTGTGTTATCCTCTGCAATTTAGAAATTTTGAGGCAAAGAGAAAAAATTACCCTTTTCACTTCAGAAAAATATCATAGGATTTTCTGTTTTCCCTTTAACAAGGTAGTTTTTCAAATAAGGCTTTAACTGTATAACACATCCTTTATTTGCAAGGTGTTCAACAGTTTCCTAGACATTAAAATAATAAGATGTAAGATACACAGCCACAGGAGTGGAGTATCCAGAAATGGAGTGGAGTATCCAGAAATAGAGTACTTTTTGGATGCATTTGTGAGGCAGAACTTGCCTGGATTTGCTACTGTGTAAGTTGTAGTTAATGGCTGCAAGAAGTAATTAAATGTTCTTGAAGGGAATGTGTGCTCTTTCAGAGGAGAATCTGTGCATAATCTTAATACAGATCTATTTAATAACAGAAAACTATAATACAGGATTTATTCTCATCTCCTCAAAAATAGTCCTCCTATTTTGTCCATCTTCAGAAARGACTTGAAATTAAAAGGAAAATTTCAGATGGAATCTTTGCCTATTCTGTGCTCCTCTCTCTTTTCTGCTGTCTTGTGTGGTAAGGCAAGACACCGTGGTCTCTTTCTCGTTATGACCGCAGGGATCATTTTATGGCTGGATCAGAAGTATGTGAAGCTGGACCCTTGCCACTGGAGGCATACTTCTAGGGTGGCCTTCCACACACTTGCCTGGGTCTCTGGGTTGCAGCATCTGGACAACCTGCTTTTTAAAAACAGAACATTTGTTTTTAAGTAAATGTTCACTTTTCTTCAGTAAATTGGGTTTTTACGCAAGCCTTCATAGTCATATCAGCTGCTTCTCTTTTGTGCATTAAACTTCATTATGGGTTTTTCCTCACCAACAAAGAAGATGCTTTTGTGGTTAAAGTACATTACTGGATTTCAGGAAATCAAGAATTCAGTTTCTGAGTCAACCACAAATTTTCTGTGTGATTGGATACTATTGCTGCCTTGGTTCCCCATAGATGTAATGCTGATCTTTTATAAGTTTGTAGGTTAGCAGGACCCATCTTGATCATTTTATCTGATACTCTGAATAATGGAAATGAAAAAATTAATTGCCTGCATAAAAATTACCTGGCTTGTTTCTGCTGTAACATGTTGGAAAGTTTAACCAGCCTTAATTTTGCTCAGGAACCCATTTTCTTATGTTGTAGTRAAACATTCTCATCTTTAAGAGTCTTCAGTGGAAATGTTTTAGGTTTTGGGTTCTATTTATTATTTTTAATTTTACCTAAAAGTTTGCTTTTTTTCTGGAAGTAAAAGACTTGGTTAAGTAAAATTCTTAGACTGGCCAAGGTATTTCTTAATAGTTTTCTTTGGCTAACTTAAAGAGGTTTTTTAAGTCAGTTAATCTGAGTGTTCAACATAGCTCATCCTTTGGGTTAAGGAGACACTATGGTGTACGCACACATCATGTACTGTGCATGCAAATTAGGGCTGTATTTTYAGAATACCTTTATTGTAAGGATTTATTCTTATTTGCTTGCAGGGTTAGATGGCCAGGTTTCTGCAGTTTAATGTAGTGACTTTTTTTTTTTCTTTTGTAGAAATAGTCTGGAAAATGCTGCTTTGAACTGTTCTTGAGGCAGCTCCTTAAGGTTTTTCARCCTGCATGTGTGTCTTGAGTCAAAAATTGTTGATGTGGTACAAATGCTTGCAAAAGGATTTTCAGGGAAGCTGTCCAGTAGATGCAGGCTGCTAACCAAAAACTGAATACCCTKTCCAGGTTGAGTTCTTTAGGTCTCTAATATTCATTTTGGACTTATTACACTGTTCAATTTTGTCAGTCTCAGCTGTTTGCAAACAGGCTTGTCAATATAAAAGCATGATGCTATTTCCCCCGGCATATATATCCAAGTAGTACACCTGTTTCAACAAGAATATACTGCTGAGAATTTGTGTTCAGCGGAAATCATCACCTTCCCATGTCTCCTAATGGGAGGCTGATCTGAGCACTCCTTAGTCCTCTTCAGTCACACCATAAAACCGAGCAGAAACAGCACATGTGGTAACCTTACTGACTTTGCTTTAAGCAGGCTAAGGACTACTTTGGAACTCTGCCAGCAAGAGGAATCATAAGGAGAGAATGTTATGACAAGACAGAGTAGCAAGCTTTGAGGGACTGACTCCAGGTTCTAGGCTCTGCAGTTAGCATGGGGTTTTTGTTTGGTTTGGGTTTATTTTTGGGTATTTGAGTTTTTGGTTTTGTTTTATTTTGGAAGTAATTTATTAATTTACTTTAATGCAATTAGCAATCTGCAATTAACAGAAGCTCCATTTGATTACATTAAAACAGAAGTTGTTCAACTAAGCATATTTCTAGGTAATCCATATTGTTTTTCACAATTGATCTCTTACTGTCACTACTTACTGTTCCACTATTTTTGTCATCACAGARGTTGTCTGGAGTTACATTTTCTTTCAAACCACATAACTGCTTATAAATCTACAGAACAACACATGCCTGCCAACAGAGTGATCCTTTGATGCTCAGCTATCATTAATGCCTGTTGCATTTAACAATTTCCCATGTGTGGACTGCTGTGATTTTCATCATCTTCCCTTTGAAATTCTCATTGATAGAATGATAAGCAAGACAGAGGCAGGTGTCTTACAGAAGTCCTCTATGTCACCACAATTATTTTGTCAGCCCAAATAATGACCCCATTTAAGGAAGGTGTGGAGGCTGGGAACAGTCTATTTTCTCTAGATGTGGCTAGAGCACTGCTATTTATATACCTGCCTGTTATTTTCTGATACATTAATGACTGCAGAGACCTCACTGGCTAATAGTTTCTTGGTGTTCCTGGATAGCTAGTTATAACTTTCATTCTCTCACTCAGTTTCATTTCTAAAATAGCACTTCTTTTCCAACTGTCACATTATTTTTTATTTTTGGAACAGTCAGTACTAGGCTGGTAATGTTCTGATGTCTAGGGATACTTGGAGGCATGTCTGCTTGGTTCTAATAATTGCTTATTCTGTTTAAAAAACCCTGCATTAGTTCATATTAAATTTCCTTCAAAATACAGCCCCATTTACAGCTTAACTTAGCCTTGAAAATAGGAACAGAAATGGTATGGTATTCTATTTTTTCCACCCCAAACTGATTACAGTCTAATTTCTCACAGTATGTATGTGGCTTCTAGGGACACACTCAGATACATGGCATATTTTTTTCCTTTGCATTTAGGAACAGATTTAGTTGCCTATGCAGGATGTGTGTGGTTGCTAGAGGTGGCAAGATAAGGGAAAGAGTGCCTTGCGTCACAACAGAAGATGGTAGAGCTTATAATCACACTAAATTCCTTGTAGCCTTAAGAAACAGAAGAGGAAGAGGCTACAAAAGTTGTTTCTCTATTGTTGTTCCTTCTTCTTTCTCCTTCCCAACAGAATTAACTTGACCCATACTACTCTGATAGGTGGTGTAATCAGGATTTATTACACAGTATTKGGACAGGTCTGTCCAAAAATTTAAAGTTTTCTCTTTTGCAAAGAAAATTTACTTATATGGTAAGAGGGGTTTACCTGTTGATTTTAGCCATAATTGTGATGCTGTTTATCTTTTTTCTCCTGTCCCAGAGCACTGGAACTTTCAACAATGTGGTAAAATTTGAATCTTGTGTGAGAAGACAACACAAAAAGCATATGAACATGTGTCAAATATCTAGGTGGCCTTGCTGTTGCAAAGAAGAGAGGAATGCCTAATATAGGGGTTTAAAATGAAAGGGCTTGTAAAATCTTGAAAGATGAACTTAAAAGACACTCAGGACTCACTTGAGTCTTGTCAGCATGCATGTTTAAAGTTTTGGGTTATGCTTAATTTTTTTAATTCTCTAAATAATTATTTGCCCTTTCCCCCTGTTCTCATCCCCCCTATTTTATTCTTTTCCAACCCTTAGTTTTCACCTCTTCTAGTTCCCTCCACAAAATTTCCTCTCCCTGCTTCTTTGTGTTCCCTTTTGCATTAATCCAGGTTCTTGAATTCTTTAGGAAGACTGTGTTTATTAGAAAAGTTTAATAAAACGTCATTCCTTTTCAATTTAGTTTGATGAATCTGCAGCTTCATACAATTGAGGAACCAGTAATTTGTGACTCATACTTGGGAATATTTTTCACTATTGTTTTTAGGAAAGGACAAAAAWTTTATTTTGAATAATTTGTCTCCTCTGTAGGCATATTGGCACTTTGGATATGAATAYAAATATRTTAATGTGGATGATCTAATGTATATACACAATACATCTATATGCCTTCACACTCGCAGAGGCACGTGTCTATCATAAGTGTATATCTTTTAGGTAGCACTGGATGAAATGCTGCCAGGAAACTTTACTTGTCTTCTGCACTTCTAGATAAGGTTAAAAATTACCAATGGTACTGGCTGTGCCTAAATTTAAAGATTATGGGAAATGGCTATAGCAAGCTGCCACATAAATAACTAGTTGAAAGTGAAAGGAGGAAGGTAGATTGAACAAGTAGCTTGTGAGAAAGTATTCATTTCCAAAATGCGGCACAGAGAGGTGAAAACAAAGAGAAGTCTGCATCCTAGACGTTCACTCTGTACATTAAGTTTAATGGTGCTATCAACAGCTTCATATGACAGGAAATGATCTGGGCGTTTTGTTCACTTATTCTGGATGCCCTTAGTTTCAGAGAGCAACTGCTAACATGGATTGCACCTCGGAAGGGGACAGCTGAACTCTCCCTCCGGCTTTAGTAAGGAAAGAGCAGCGATGAAATCCGTGGACTGTGTGCACGTCATCCAACAGAAGGATACCGCCTCCTCTCCCTCTGCCCTCCCTGGTGCTGTTTCAGGCACCACGGGACTTTTTYCTGTCACATTCCTGTGGCTTGCAATGCTCCTGTCCTCTTGTCTTGCAGCAGTGTCTCTTTACCATGTTATCATCCTGAAAACAGAGCTAGAAGCTCTRCGCAGTGAGCTGATCTACAGCGTCCAGGCAAGGTCTCCGCGAGACCAGCCACTCGTGTCCCCCGATGAAAATAGAGCAGGTACCCCTGTTTCTTCCTTCCTGCAAGTGTCTGAAGCTGCCACCAGGCAGGTAAGCTGGAGGGGTGGCTTTTGACTTGCAKGGCATAAACAAATGTGGGGCTGCTTGCACTGATGTTGCTTCTCCTTGTTAGGAGAGCAGGCTTCCTGGTACTGGCCCTGCTGAAAGCTTCCAAAAGGGAATCTGGAATGGGAGTAGAAACAGAGGCAGACGGTCTGCTGTCAACACAGAAGAAAAAGGTAAATGGAGATGATGGCTGATGGAGTGGGTTGGGATGCCACAGTTGGATGCTGTCTAGAGAAAAGCAGGAATGTTTGAATCGTGTTTTCTTTCTCCTGTCAGTTGATCCATGCTCACAGAGCCCATTTGGGTTTTCAAAATTATTGGTGGATGAATGGTGTTAACCATAGGCATGTTCTCTTAATGGATAGARTATTGAATCACAGAATGTTTTGGGTTGGAAGGAACCTTTAAAGACAGTGTAGTCCAACCCTTCTTCAATGAGTAGGGCCATACTGTTTAAGGCATGAGATATTTGTGCTATCTGCAGGCTGAACTTTGAATATTAGATCTCAAATCTGCATGATGCATTAGAATTGAGAAAAGAGACTTCAAATCATTCAGAATTTCAATTATTCAATTCTCCCTGATCAATAGTAGGGAGGAAAKCTATTAATAAAAATGCCAGTTCACTTTTCTGGGAAACATGCTCACCCTAAAAGAGACGACTAATAAGAAGTTTAGGGAAGTAGGAGCTTTCAAGGAGAAAGGCTGGCTTGTACCTGACAAAAGAGGCAGACTACGAGGAATTCAGAAGTTTAGCATAATTTCTACATTAAAACAACCTATCAATAAATAGTAAAATTATTTAAAAAAACCTATCCAGGAAGATTTTGGTTTTTGTCATGCCTCTCCTTTTTAAGAGCTTTTGCAAAAAGCACTGAAGACTGTGTTCCATAAAAGAGCTCTGATGTGTATTATAGGATAGACATATTAATGGGATATATTTATTTCCTTTGGAGATCAAATACCTCCATTTCTTTCTTTTTCCAAACACAAGGAGGCCTTAAAAGATGAAATTCAGAATTTTATTATAATAGTTTGCACATAGACTCTGATYGCACTGAGTAACTAAAAATATTCCTGAGYTGCTAAATCAGTTCACTCCTCTCAWGYACACTTTTGTGTTGTTTTAATTGATGACATCTGATATCTTACATTGTTTAGGGAAGTTGAACTGGAGTAAATTACAGGTATAGACTAAATGAAGGTTTGCTTAATATGTGTTTCTCAGTGAGAAACTATCATGAAATGTATTTCACTTGAGCTTCAGTAAGCCAAATGAAATTTAAGTTCTAGAGTATGATCACTCTACTTACTTCCAATATTGTCAAAAAAGAACATTGATTTTGACATCACCTAAAATCCACAGGTTTATACAGGATTTATTCTATTTCATTAGTAATCTTTGGTTCAGGATCTTGGCTAAGAAAGATTTCGCAAACAGGACTGAGGATATGATTGCTTAAATTTCTTGTCGCCTGTTTCCTATCACAGGAACCACAGAGCCTCCCTGCCCTCCCCACCCTAGCAACTCCAAAATAAAARCTAGTGGTCTAAAGTACAAATGTAAAAAAAAATATGGAAACATATTTTTTATTTTTTTAAATGAATGTTAGAGCATCAATACTCTGCAAGAGATCCAGTKTCCTTTACAATAGCTTTCATCTTTAGTCATATTGCTATTTGGGGTGAAAAGGGTTTGGGGCTCCTCAGCTGCGCTTCTGAGTAGGCTTAAAATTCTTCTCATKATGTAGCCACATCTGATTATACTGTTTACCTCCAACACAAAAAATTTCARTTAAGCTACTTATTTCTGTAAACATTTTAAGATACAGCTGGCTTTAAAATTGTTTAGAATGGATGMCAGAAAGCACATTTTAAAGGGAAAAGCTACATAAGTTGATCTATTAAAAATATTTTCTAACATGAACCTCATATTTTTGTATATATAAAAGAAAAAGAAGTAAATTGCAAATCTTGCATTTATATCAAAGGCTGTTTGTTAGAATGAGCTTTCTGCCTGCTCTAATTGCAAGTTTAACTTTTCAGTATTCAATAATATATTTTCTCAGATCAGATTTCATTGACGACCATGGACCTACCAGTCAATGTTAAATTTTGTTTTAACAGAGTGGGTTAAATAGGAGAACACGGTGTTGTTCATGGTGCTGAATCCAGTCAACTACTTGGTCCTGTACACAGAATTACAGGCCCTGAATTTTGATCTTTTGACATCCATATCTGGGTACCAGAATCCCATCAGTCCCCAAACTGCCCTGSAGATGTGTGTTTTAATGGGAAATAAATTAGGGCATTGACTGAGGTGCCTCTTCTTGTCCTATTTCATTTGCTTCAGCAGTGTCTCAAAGTAGAATATGATTTCATAATTGATTGTTGACCAATAATTTTACTTTTATATGGATCAATTCCTTAGAAAGTTAATAATTGAAAATGTCACAATRTATAATTGCTTCTCTTGTGCTTCAACAGAGAGCAGAAGTAAAATATAGAACTATTTTTGTGTTTGTAATTAAAATTCTTGTTCATTTCTGGGGTTTTTAGGCTTTAATTATCAAATTCCAGGAATGGATGCCACATCGTTCTTTTTTTAGACCCAGCACTGCCCTTCTTGAACATGAGGAATTTCCATTTTAATCATACAAGTGGCCACAAATTAGCATTTTAATTAAAAGGAAAATTGAGTGGAAGTGGATTTAACACAATGTTGTTTCTTATTTTATGGGGTATKCATTTGTCTGTGCTAATGCATAAAACTGTTAGTTATCAGTAGTTGCACGTTTTGAATCTTGRGAAAATTTCCAGCTTGGTTAGGTTGAAGAGAAGTGTTTCAAGTATCAATTCCAAATAAAGCTGTGCAGTTAGCAGTCAAAACCAGAGTTCTTGATACAATGAGTAGGAGGTAATGGGTGATTTTGAAATACTCACTTCTGGCAAATGTCATATCAGGACACATAACAACAGATACACTTTTTCTTTTTATCTTCCTCTGATAAGTTTCATCTGTGGGGGAAAATCGGTGCACAACAAAAGACCTCTCCTGAATTTTTTACTCTATTCACAATTATTGATTGTGTTGCTTCTGTGTTTCTCTCTAAGCTGCATGTGCACTTGYGCCCAGAGGCAAGATTTAGGTTCTGTTGCCTAAGCCAATGGACAAATGTCAGGTTTCGTTTTCACACTCCCTCAGTGCCTCATTCCAATCATTATTGTGGGGTTCTGATTCCCGTGGCCTAGGGAGGTGAGAATCAAGTCTGCTGCAAACTCAGATGCAGTGACCTGCTGGGATCAGATTGGAGCCCCCATGAACTACATTTACTTTGGTGTGTTGAGATTGCCTATCTCTTTGTATGTATGTAGGAGCTGAGGAGCAAGTCTATGTAATTCCACAGATCAGTGAGGCATGGTAACCTGGCATGTGGCTTGGCAGTTAAATTTTTTACTTGCAATTCTCAGGTTCTACTCCAATATCAGTATGTCCAAGGGAAATAACTATTGCYTTGCAAGCATGGTGTGAGAATTTTGCCTTTGCTGTTGATAAAATTGCTGTACTGGAAACTGGTACATTTGTTGGTTGGAAGTGTTTTGACTCTGTATGTAGTTGCTTTAGATATCTGTGACAGAGGGATAGCAAGAAGTTTTACAGGTGGTACTTGACTTTWGCAATCTTTGAATTGAGATGTAAGCTTTTGTTCCTAGCTTAAGGAAATACCACAGATAAAAATCTCTCACTGRATATTCTCAATACTTCATATTTTATTATTTGAAGAGGTCAAATATAAAATAAAAATAAGACCTCTTGCAATGAGAAGTCAAGAAGTTAAGGGAAGAAGAACTGCAAATGGTTCAAGAACAAGCTCGTCATTTATAAATTAAGTTGTTTAGTGTTTAACTGTACTTTGGGAAGCCTACAGAGAACAGATCTAGACAAAAAAGGAACCAAAATAAGCAGGTCTGGGTTTTGTTTTTTTTTTCAAGGTCAGGGTTTTTCCTAGGTTTTATTTCAGCAAAAATTGACAYAGATGTCTCAGACCTCAGATATCAAAACTTTAAATGTTATACATGACCTCACAAATATTACATTTGAAATTTTGTTTGGATAGATCATTAAGTGATATTGTGAAATATTAAAATGATTGTGCAATTTAAATAATAAAAAAACTTGCATGTGAGGGAAGCTTTTGTTTTATCAATATAAGGTCTTAAATCATGGAGGTATGCAGAAAGCTGTGTTGCTGCCATGCAGCAAGAGCTAGTTGACTTTTTTTAAATTGTGGCTATATTTCTCAGCCAGTAGAGAACATATCATTTCATTTGCTGSCTGTGGTTTATAAAGGCATCTGGACTGACTAAATTCTTTAGAATTGGGTCTTCTGTTCATGGAATGAGACAGACTCGGAAATGAACTTGTGACAACCCACAGCCTGCAGWGCAATTAAAATCAGCTGAAAAAGAAAGCATGTTCATCAAAGCAAAGCTGTTATATAAAGWTACAAAAGTCTGGGACACACTTTATCATTCTATATACACTTTAATACAGCTAGATCTCATGGTGATACTCAGTCCAGATATTTTTATACTTTTTCAAGATGTGTTTTATTCTCACTGTATTCTCCTTTCATTATTAATTATTCAAAAATCCTTTAGACTACAAAGATGGTGCTCAGGTTTGATTAACACTGAAAGATATTCAGGTAGAACTTTTGATTTATTCTGCTCAATACCAATAGCAACTATTCATTTTGTAATACATATATTCTTCATATTGTATTTAAAGTAAGATTAGGGTACTTCTTAGAATAGAAGTGCTAGCATTTCTTAACGACCTTGACTTCGTACTGAAAATTCCTATTAATTTACCCAGAAAATGTAGTTTGTATATCCATATCTTCTCCTTAATAGTACTGTTGTTTACTCGGAATTTGTTTCAATTAATTACTTAATTTTAGGCATGTAAGTAGTTCCACTGAAGTTTAAGTGAAGTACTTGTATATACTGGAAATAGTTATGTATCAGTCTTGGCTTCTGAGCATATTTTTGAAGCATTTTGTTGTTYAATCACTCAAGCACTTTTTTAGATATTATTTATCTTTTGTAACCTTTTGTAAAATGGCCACTGTGCTAGTTTCTCTTTACTTACTGTCATGAATGACACTATTGTATCCATTTTCTCCAAAAACAAGCTTATTATGTTCGGTGGAGGCTTATTCCTATCTACATGTATTAAAAGAAAAGAGACAGATTTTCCTTTTCAGAGATAAAGTGTAGATCAGATGTCTGTAGAAMAAAGTAGAGTTGATCTCAAACTGTACTGCTCTTGCAGATTTTAATTACTGTGGAGCAGTTCTCAGCAATGCTGACTGGTATTTCAGTGCTACAACCAGCTGAAACMGAAATCCAGACTTGCAAAGTGAGAATTAGGATAGTTTCAAAAATGCCCACCAAGTTTGCAGAGCAGGTTTAACAAAGTTGCTAAAGTGGCCCGAACTTTTACTGCTTGTAGAAGCACTCACTGGTACCCAGCTGGATAGCAGCTGGTTAGTGGGAATCGCCACAAATCCTCTTGTTTGGATAGTGGAAAATCTGGTGGCCACACCAGTGAGTTCTTTTAAAAGCAGGAATTACAATTTTGGTTTAGTTTATTGAAATACAAGGAATCAGCAAATTCCATTCACTAGGAAGACATTTTGTTCCAARGAAGAATTAATACCTTGTGAAATTAGTTGCCTGATGTGCTGTGTTGTGCATCTCCATAAAATCGCATTTTGATTTTATTTRGAAGTTTATTTTCCAGAAAACTCTTTTGCTCCCAAGTGTGATAGAAAAAAAAAGCCTGAAGTATAATTTTTTAAATTTGTGTTGGTGTGGGGTTTTYTATTCCTTACCAGAAGGTAGATAATTTAGATGCCTTTAAATTCTTGGCTTGAAATCTATAGATTGTAGCACATTGTTGACATGTATTGATGGGACTCAAGTACTTATTTCAGTGTAGGAGACAGGAGTTGGAGGCTTGCAGGACATAAAYAGGGCTTGCAGGCTGTGTGATTGTTCTGACACTGGAGTAGCCAGATGTGCACTTGAATCTTTGTGCACTGCCAGTTGGCAYTGCTGAGTGCTGGTGAGCATCCAGTGTGCTGCTGCTGCTGCTGCTTTYARGAARGACCCCTTAAAAAGGAGGCTTAGAAACAGGAACAGGCTGCTTTCCACCCAAATTCTCTCACTACCTATTTGCAGCAAGAGGTTTGTGCTGCTGGGAACTTGGTTGCACATGTGGGTACCACTGGCAGGTACAGAAACAAGGTCACACAGATCACAGCATTGCCCATTGTAGCCAAAGCTGTGCGGCCAAATCTGACCCATGGCCTTCTTAACTGAAAAGTGGTAAACAAAATGGAGCAATCCATGGCAGTATTTTCTTCTCTTGACTCCTAAYAAATTCATTTAGTCTCTGTCAAGCACAGTTTTCCACTCTTCAAAGTAACACAAGAAACAGATGTTTTGATTAACATCTGCTCCAAGCAGATGCTGTTATTCTTTTTTCCTTTTATCCTGTTGCCTGACATTTATGCCTAGCAGGTTTTTTGCAAGATCTTTGTTTCACTTGCAAATCTATATTTTAACATTCTGCMGTATTTTTCTCCGAACAAACTCCTAATTTCTCATTAATGTCACCAGTCTCTACAGTTTTGAGCCACACATTTTGACAGATACTAAGCTCTTTGTTCTGTGTGCATTGATTTGCTAACAGTCATCTCTCTATTTTCTCTATTACTCTCAGTATAGGTGGATTGAATGTAGGYATCTGAAAACATATTGAAAGTACWTATATGTGAATTTTGAGAATTTATTATGAAAGTACCATATAACCAGTATATATGACTAATATTTTACAGCATCTATAACTGGAAAGTAATTTCTCTAAATAATACAGTAAACAGAGTTAGAACTTCTGCTGTCTATCATAGCTGGAAGGGTTGGGGCTTTTTTAAGCTTTTGCTTAGAAAATTAACAAGGCTTATTGTTCTGATGGTTTCTAGCTCATTTGACTTACTGCTACATAATTATATTAGGACCAGATATTCAAACAAACGTTACTTGTTCTGCTACCTGAGTCCTCCCACTCAGCTGCACGATCTCTGGAAGTCATCCAGTATGTGTTGTGACATGAATTTTGGTTTTGCACACTTGAGTAGAACCTGTGTTAAAACCAATAAGTTGTGTTTTAAAATAAGTGGCAAGACTGAGAGATATCTGTTGTGTCCTTTTTTTTCTTTAAGTAGTTTCATAAGCTTACTCTATTCTATTCCTGGTTTCTGTTTCTTTGATTTCAAAATGCTTTCACTTTGCAGTGCTGCAGGCCTGTTTGCAACTGATTGCTGACAGCAAAAGTGATATCCAACAGAAAGGTAAGAATATGTACCATGATTTGTAGATAACTATTCCATGGGATAACTGTTTCAACAAATTTTATCAAACTTCAAAGCAATAACCAAGTTTTGACAACAAATTTTAAAATTAAAAAAAAAATCAACAGCAACAAAACAAAACAATCAAAAAACAACAAGGAAGTCCCTGCATCTGGAAGGTCCCTTATCTGGGCAGCTCTTGCAAATATCATCTTTTCAGTGGGGAAATCCAGCTAGTGAGACTGGAAGTCTTTTCTATAAGCCAGCTTTGTTAATTTTTGGTAGGTGAAAATGAAGAAAATAACTTTTCTTTCCGATTACCCAAAATTATATTTTTTTTAGATGATTCAAGCGTTGTCCCTTGGCTCTTGAGCTTTAAACGTGGAACAGCTCTGGAAGAACAAGGAAATAAAATAGTGATCAAAGAAACAGGTTATTTTTTCATATATGGCCAGGTGAGAAAGCTCAATTCACTTCAGCATCTGACTTTTGTAAGGATTTTTTAAAGCCTCCATGCAATTAGTTTGAAGTTTTCACCTCTTCTTTCTGTAGGTTTTATATACGGATACAACATTTGCTATGGGACACCTCATACAGAGGAAGAAGGCTCATGTGTTTGGTGATGATCTCAGCTTGGTGACACTGTTTCGCTGCATCCAAAATATGCCACAGTCTTATCCAAATAATTCTTGCTATACTGCTGGTAAATATCTGCATTTTCCTTTTCTTTGTTTGCAAATAAGCTGTATCAGACAGAATCTGWAGTGCTGCATGACTGTATTGTAGCAGTCAGACAGAATAGGGACTTCATTCGTGGATCTGGCTAACTGCAAAATTACAGAATAATTTCAAAAAATAGTTTTACCTCAAGTATCAGCAATTGGTGATTATGTATCTAACTCCGCGATCTGAACAATTTTGCTCTCTCCATTGACTCTGTAATGTGSTCAGACATTTTGGTCCTTTCAGTTAGATGCCTGAGGCAGACAAGAGGAGTACCTAGTGTCCTTATTGAAGAACTCAGTTTAACTTAGGAGTTAAATTCCACATTTAGTTATCCCAAGAAAATATTAAAGAGCTGCATTCTCCTTTGAAATGTCATATATGAATTTTAGCCATCCAATACTTGCATACTTTACTGTGATATTTCTACTCCTTGTAATGGCTACTGCATTTTTAGTCTTTAGTTAGATKAAAACAAATTAATTTCTATAAGTTGCTCTTTATGACTGCACAAATTGGAAACGTCACAAGAAAGACCAATTGAAATATTTAATGCAAGTCCAGCAGGCTCAATGATCAATATATGTGTATATTTCTGTAGTAGTGTTTAARGAATTAGTGTCAAGGCCTATAAAATCTCATTTATCATCACCTTATTTGTCTGTCTTTCCACCTTAATGGTGGATTTGAGGGTTTTCTCTTTGGTTATTTTCTAGTAAGGTCTTTTTTTTCAATACTTTATGAAAAAGTAGGTGACACTGACTGATGGAATTGACTATTGGCAAGTAATGGCATTAATAAATGGGATGTAGCAGGAAGTTGATTTTTTCCAAATAAAAATAAATTCCAAATAAATAAATAAACACTTTGTCCTGGCAACTGAGGCTGTCCAACCATTTTCTTTAATTTTCTGCCTCTTCAGCCACACATTCTGGCAACATAACCACTTCAATTTAATCTATAATCTGATTTTATCCCTGTTACTGCTCCTCTTTCTTGACCAGCATCTCTACCTTGGCATTTCATGTTCCTGCTTCCCAAATTCCCACTGTTCTTTTTTCATTCAGAAAAACATTTCTGACTGCTCTCCCTCATGCTGTTGAGCATGTGTCATAGCAGATGTTAGATGTGTTCTCAGCTCAGCAGCTACAGCTTGAAGGCAAGATGCTTTTGGTTATGGTATCAGCTGGTGTGTGGCTGCAGGGAGCAGACTTTTGTGCTCTGCAATTGCAGTGGATCAGCTGATGTCTGGTAACTTCATTRGGGTGATAAAGTTCATAAGACCTGCCCCAGAAGTGTGGGAACAGAGTGGTCTAGGACCAGTCGCACTCACTGCTGACTTGGACTGTCTCATCACCATAATAGGAGGAACCTGTGTACAACCACTTAAAATTTTTTTGCAGTGTTTGCTTAAGTGAACTCTGAGTATGGAGTGGGAATTAAGTCCAGCTTCACAGAGGATCTTAAGTGTCAGCTTTGGATAGGCTGTGAACTCGAAGTTTGTGCCTAAAGACAAAAGCACTCATCACAAGTAACAAGCCATGCTTGTATTTGCAGGATGACTGAGAATGGCTTTTGAATRGCATTTATAAAATAGTGTATTTGAAATATTAACTTTAAAATATTTCTTATCTTTTGCCAGGCATTGCAAAATTAGAGGAAGGGGATGAACTTCAACTTACAATACCCCGGAGAAGAGCTAAAATATCCTTGGATGGCGATGGTACTTTTTTTGGTGCAGTAAGACTCTTCTGAAGCCCTCAATTTCTGTTATTATGCTTAATACTATTTTCTTCTTTACCTATGCCTTTGTCAGAAAAAATATTGACTTGTAATAAACCTGCAAGTTCAACCCCTCTCAATCCACCACAGGCTTCTAAGAACTTTTCTTCTAAGAACTTTTCTTCTAAGAACTTTAATAAGCAAACCCAAAACAGGAAACATACCAAAAATGTTTGTGGTATAACCACCATGTGATTACCAGAAAGCTAATTTATTTTAGACAATAGGAGACTCTAGATAACAACTATAAAGCAATGAGGTTTTGGCTTTGAAACAATTTGTTGTCCATATGGTAAATCAAAGAAGGAGTTGACCAAAAATAGCAGCATGGCCAGGACCACAGACTATCAAATTGTCAATAAAATACTTGATATATCAAAGTGTGGGGAAGAAACATTGAACAGTAGATTCCTCACCACAAATTGAATTTGCTAGGTGGGTTCTGAGTTTTGGGGTTATTTTYCTTTTCCCAAAGATACTGGGGAAGGAAAAAATCTAAATGTCTGGAATAATGAAAACAAATACACAGAATAGTAGTCACTGTGTTGCTTCTTCTCTGTGAACAAAAAGTAAAAAAAAAAATACTTAAATCTATTAGCATTTATTAAATAGAATTAATTTTGCTGGAAAAAGGATATATAAAATGCTTCAATGTCTCAATCTTCAAAGCATTGCTACTTGTTAAGGAATATGTGTACACTTCTATGTAAACAAGGCTGGCACAGGAAGAAACAGTGAAATTAGACACAATACAGTGGTTGGAATTGGATTTCTGGCTTCAGAATTTCTGCAGTCATATATAAATGTGTATATTTATACAGTATATAGATGTATCTGTATATATTTGAAAATGTGTACACACACATGTTTCTTGGGCATTTGAGCATTTTGAGAAATTTTTCTTCTTTTGAGCAATTTATCTRATGGAAATATGACTTCGCACATATTTTTTGTATTTCCCTTGCTTCTTGCTATGATTCATTCTATGCAATACAGTAAATAGAAAAATCCAAGAGATCTGGAACCAACCATGCAACTAAGAAAATACAATTGTATTTCAGARGCTTTTTCTGCAGTTTTGAATACAGTGCTTAACTCTGTTTTACAAAAATATTCACATCTGTAGAAAGACTGAACAGATGTCCTTTTTTTCCTTTTCTTTTGTCTGGTTGTTTTGTTCAGTAGATAGCATTTGTGCCTTTTTTACCCCAAATATTGTATGGTCAAMGGAGATATTGTACTTCTCCCTCGATCTTAAGGAAGCATTGAAGTGCTATTGGAATGGATAAAAAGTAAAACCCCAAGTAACGAATTGTACTTATTTTGAAAATATTTTTAGGACCAGAGAATTTGTTATATAAACTCACTAAGTAAAGAAAAGATGCTCTTTCTATTGCAGTCTCCTTGTCTGTTTTTATGAATTGTGATTTGATTAATTTCTCATGGYGATAGACAATAAATAAAAGGGATTTGGAGCTCAGAAATATAGAACATGGTAAAGTAATGAAACAATTAATTTATCTTCTCTGGAMTTCAAGAAGACATTTCAGCAATAAGCACATGCATATTGGATTTCTGCACTGGGAGTTTTATAAAGCTTAACTACAGTTTCAAAATATCTACAAGTCCTCCTTTTTAAAATGTCTTTATTTATGTGTTGTGGAGCTGAAGCTGCAGCTGCTTTTTTTGTTTGTTTGTTTTGGTTTGGTTTTTTTTTCCCTTTTTATTATTATTACTAATCTTTGATGTGCTGAGTTTGCCAAAAAGGCATTTTAAATCCTCTACAGGAGCTCTCAGTTTAAACAATGTTGTGTAATGCTGCGTGCAGGTAAAACAATTGTTAGCATGCAACAAGTTGTCTATTATTGCTGACATACATAAATGATGCCCAGAACCTCTAATCAGAAGTTTGTTGATTTTAGCATTATGTCTGGTGATAGAAGAAAATATGTTGTTACTCTGATTTCTCAGGACTTGGTAGCTAAACTTGCAAATTTAACTTTYAGTGTGTAAGCTTCCCCAGTGGTTTCAGTGGGCTTGTGTGTGCTTAGCTTAAGCCATTTCCCTGGCTGTACTTCTTCCTTCTGCTGCTGACAAATGTGCAAAGTACAGAAGTTTGGAAAGAGACTGGGGCATGATTTGGCTTGGAGAAAAACACTTGCCTTCTGAAAGAAAAAAATGTCAAAGGGGTTCCCTTCCTTAGAACCTCAAGTTTCTTCACAAAAAATATGACCCATGTTTCTGTGAACCACATGTGTGCAGAGTGCAAGTTGACAGACTGTTCAGATATTTCTACTGCAAAATCCATCAAYTTTGTTGCTACAAGATTATCTTTTTACTGGCTTCTTGAGAGAACTTGTCTTCTCAAAATTAACCTTCTGCACAAAGTTGAATTGTAACAGGTCAGCATTTTCTGATCAAAGCATGAAGGAGAATACTTCATCCCTGATTATTCCACTAACAAGCTGGTGATACAGAAGGTAGCAAAGTGCATCCAGACCACCATCATACTTATGCTTCAGTGAGTGGGRGTTAGTGAAGCATTCTGCATTTGGAATATGTTATTTAAATAAGTTTGATGAGTAATAATTAGTATCTAGTTGGTTCATACAATATTTTACATTTTTATCAATGATTTCTCGCATTTAAGACAGATTTCTGCAAATAGAACATTGTGAATACTCTGGTTCTTTTTGTTGTGGTGTTAAGCAGCAGCATGGCAAACACAAGGGACTTTTTCTTTCCAGTAYGTTTTAGCAGTAAGTGTGAAGTTGTGTCATTCTTTCCTTTTTAATAATGTTCAGTTGGCAGATATATAGCTGCTTTGAATGTAATGTACTTAATATGACTTAATCTTAACTTTTTTTATATAATGTGCAGTCACACAGCCTGCCAACGTACAGAGTATATTCATTACATGACTCTCCTACATCTGACTGTTTCTCAAATTGCTCAGCATTTGCCATTCTATGACTTCCATTTCAGTAGTCCCATAGTTTTGCCAAGTTTATACTGCTGGGGTTGACAATTTCTGTATCTCTGGTTTATATMTTAGGTTGAATGCTCTTGGGTAACTTTAGCCCTCAAAGTTCTACTCTTCTAAAGATAGGGTTAGGAAAAATGTGTTCTTTGGATTTTATTTTAACAATTTGGCTACTTTTTCTATAGAAAGATTTAGAGATTTTGCTTTGAAAGAAAAAATGTGTGTAATGTGGGTTTTACATTGTTTTAAATAYRGTTTTCTCTCTTCCTTYCTTCCTCTCTTTCTTCTGCACTCATGCTTTGACAAGGTCTGTGCTTTTGAATAATATTTTGTGCTTTCTCATGTTAAGCATATTCTATCTCTGTGGAACTTCCAAAAAGAATAGGAAAATGTTCCCAGCAGTTTTGTGTCTGGATTACATCAGCATGGTCTAAGGTTGTTTCTCGAGGTCACTCCAAACAGCAGTGAGGAGGAAGTTGATGCAAATACAGGGAAGAGGGAAGCTAAATATTTGATGCAGAAAGAATCTCATGGAGTTTGCAGGTTACATAGCTGCAAGTTCTCAGCAGTGATGGGGAAAACAAAGCAAATTTGGAGCTGGACTGCAGGAACTGGAGAGACCCTAGCTAGAATTTGATAGCTTGTGAAGTGGGGAGAAATGTGAGAGCAGAAATGGACTAATGGACTGACTGGGACAAGCCTGGGAATTTGGTGAGGTTAAGCARAGACAGCAGCTTTGTGAAAAGAGCCAAGGGTTCCTGGGGGAAGGCAAAGTAAACACAAGTCTGCAGTGAGCCCTGTCAAAGAAGACTAACAGCTCACTGCTCTGTATCAGCAGGATGTCACCAGTAGATTAAGGGAAGGGGTTGTTCCCATTTTATTGGGGATGGTCAGGATGAAGCACATTCCTGACATATGAGGAGGGGCTGAGGGAAACGGATTTGTCCATCCTGGAGAAGAGGCTCAGGGCATCCCAACCATAGCCTTCCAATARTATTAGGTTGTCAAGAAAACAGAAAYATACCCTTTGAGAGAGCAGCAGTGSTGGCCCTTTTGGATCTCTCAGAGGTCAACATCCTCTGTAAATTAAACTTCATCTTAGGAGCTATTTGGAAAAGAGAACAAACATGACACACAAAGGTTCAATTCCCTTTGTACAGRCTACTCTCAGTTGTGAATTCACTAAATTCAGTAATTCATAGCTTAAGTCATGAGGATTCTAACCCACAAGCTCTCTTGTTCATAACTCACAACTTGTAACTCATGGGGAGAGCTCTTGTTCTTCCTCCTCTGCCATGGCACAAGAGGAGGAGTTCTCTGTGTCACACTGTGAAGCCTGAAAGCCTCAGCAATCCAGCTGCTATTGCTGCCACTTCAACAACTCTGGGTAAGCTCACACTTTCCAGCTTGGAAGTTTTCTCTACACCATTGCTGTGAGTTAGCAGGTGATGAAGAGATTGCCAAACAAACAGTGGGCAAAGTTGGTGGCTGCTGGAGACAGCAGGCTGCAGRTGACAAAGGCTGCATGAGGACCTTTCTCCTGTTCCAGCCACTATGTCATGCCTAAATGATGCCTTTGCTTTGGCCTAACAGCACCAACCCTGGCATACATGAGAGGATAACACACAGCATGAGCCATGTGTTAGCCAAAATCTGAGCAGGAAGTGAGGGAAGTGGGGAGCGCAGTCAGTGACTGCAGCAGGTTGTTCATAGATTTCCAACACTTTTTTCAGATAAATCCCTGAGCAACACAGTCTGAATTCAGTGTTGATCCTTCCTTGAGCAGGATGAAGTACAGACCTCCTAAAGGAGCCCTTTCCCCTGGCTGATTCTCTGATAAGAAAGCAGGAGAAGTGAGGAGCAGAGTAAGGACTGAAATTGGTGGGTTGCCTGCTGGGGAAGGAAGGGTGTTCATTTCCTGAGTGCAAATGAAACACGGGGTCCTCAGCATGTGCTTCAACAGGATCAGCACACATTTATGTAGTGAGCAGGGCAGGTTCCAGTTAAGCACAGCAAGCTGCTAGAAGTCATCAGTACTGCTGAACTCAAATCCAAGAGTGTAAATTGAATCAAACCATGTGGCCAAGTAATAATCTTCACTCTTTTGCAAGTTTCCTTTGGCTTCTTTTTCCCCTGCCATCTACCCCCCTCCTACCCCATTTCACTCAGAAAGAAGATACTTCATCCTGTGGAAAATGGGATATTGATGGAAAGGGTTTTAAGCTGAAGGCCAGAAATGTATTTCAGAAATATTGGGAGGAAGTAGTAAATGAGGCACAACATGCAAGAAGAGAAATTACAATCAGAATTAAATCAGAATTGTATTCCCTTTCTGTCAGTGACAGCTGGCCAAAAAGTCATGTTCGCTTTCCACAGGCGTTGATTTTTTTTCTTCTTTTAAGGCTAGAGTTGTTTCAGTTTTGTCTTAAAATCATTTCTACAAAAACTTTTTGAAAAATCTATGGATCCTATTTCTAATCTTGATGAAGGCTAGTTTTTTCCAATGGCTGCAGGAAGTCCTGTATCACAACACGTATGTGAGTTCTCTTTCACTACTGTGCTCAGGGTATTTGCTTTCCAGAGCTTAGGGAGAGTCTTGATGAGCACCTTTGAATCTGGAGACTTCCACTTTCAATTTCCCTGGCTCAGCAGCCAACAGCCCTTTGGAAAGTCTAAGCTGAGTTCCCCTCAGACATCATTTTCAGTTTCATAACAGTTTGTTCAGTCTGAAATACTTTAAGGAGAACATGCTAGGCTCCACAAACTGTGGTTTTGACAAAGCTCTGTTTTGTCTGAAAATTTCCAGACTGCCCCCTTTTGTTGTAGAGTTCCTTAAACAAGATTTTTCACAGGTGGTCACTGAGTGAWTGTTCCTCATTCTCTGTCTGACTGACTGATGCCCTTGTGGTCTCATTTGCAGAAGTGTTGAAACACACAGCTGCAACTGGAACTAGCAGGAGCATGCTTTGAATACATGGAAGGCTGTACATTTCTGCTAGAATTCTGCTGTGGAAATACTACAGCAACAARTATTCTGAAGAGCCTGGGGCRGGGAATAAGTTCTGATCTGGAGGCAAACATAGCTATAAGTGTGCAGTCAGCCAAAAGGCACACTGGAACAACTCAGGAAAAGTTCTTAAATCATGGCTTGAGTACTGAACATTGTGTGTGTTGAATGTGATAGGAATCTTAATGGGAAGGGCAATGTGAGAGTGTATAAAGTAAATTCTGTTACAGGTGGTAGGACTCAGATTACAAAGAATATTTTGGCCCATCTTCACTATGAGCATTTAACTTGCATTGGAACATTTGGTGGAGGCTGAAGACAGAGCATATCCAGGGGCTTGCTTCTATTCCCTTCAGTAAAAAGGGAAGCTTCACTTCCCGCAAACATCATAGAAACTACATTA